CTTCTTTCGGTTCCTCAATTGAGTATGTCGAATAAGTATTTAAGTGAGTGGTCCTCCGCTCAGCACATGCATGCTGTCAACTCAAGACATTGAAGCTCAATCGTCTTCAGCCCTTGGTCAATATTTAGACTACGCCCATCCTCCTCAGACTATATTCCATTAACAACCATGTCACCTGTGCGACAAGGTCGTAAGATTGCCTTAGTTGGCGCCAGTGGTAACCTTGGGCAACATACCCTGACAGCACTGCTCTCTCATGGCATCCACGACATCACCATTATTGTTCGGAACGAGTCCACCTCTCAATTCCCTGACAACATCACCGTCAAGAGAGTTGCCTTCGACGACGAGGCTGCTCTCACATCTGTCTTGAAAGGCCAAGAGGTCTTGATCTTGCAACTTGGCATCCCAGCCGTGGGCCTCAGTGACGTCTTTATCTACGCAGCCGCAGAGGCCAACGTCCGGTACATCCTCCCGACTGAGTTTGGTAGTGACCCAGAAGGAAAGCTCATCGAAGAGCTTCCCGAGATTGCTGATAAACGCAAATACCGAGAACTCATCGAAAAGCTGGGAGTCGGTTCTTGGATCGGTGTCATTACCAACCCTTGGTACGATTTCTGCCTGCCTATGGGTGATATCTTTGGTGTTGACGCCAGAACACTCAAGGCTACGCTTTGGAACGGAGGGCGTACAAAGATGAACTACACTACGCTTACCCGAGCTGGAGCGGTAACCGCGGAGGTTGTGGCTATGCCCGACGAAGAACTTGCACGCTATCGCAACAAATGCTTCTACACTACTTCCTTCCACGTCACTCAGAGAGAGGTGCTGAACAGCGTTATGCTGGCGACTGGAACATCTGAGAGCGATTGGGACATTCGCCAGGAGTCCGTGGACGAGGTTATTGAGCGGGCCAATGCGATGAGTGGGGATGACGCACATGCTGTGGTACTCGCGAAGTTCTTCCCCTTACATTACAAAGAGGGTGAAGGAGGTGATTTCAACAGCAAGACTGAGGATCTCAGCCGTTTTGATATGAGCAAGGAGGACTTCCATGCCGTCACGAAGGATGTGGTGATGCGAATTCTATCGCTCTAGAGTCCCTTCATGCGGTATTTGCATCATGGTAGTTACGTTCGTCGGAAATAGATATCCTTGTGGCAGCATCAAGCGTGGGCTCCTCAGCTCCTAAACAACACCAGGGGCCGCATAACACATACTTCTCGAGTTCTCATGAATGATTGAACACATCCCACCGAGCGTAGTTTCCCCTTTCGACTGTTCATTTGCTCAAGAAGCCGACTCCAACCGCTGTGCCTCTCACTGGGCGTACACCGGACCAACGTCGGACCAACTTTTCGGCCCAACCCCGCCAAGTGAACGCATCTCAAAGCGGTCGACTAAATCGGATAGACATGCATCGGCATCAACTCGGTAAACGGACGGGTCATATTCCGGGTGAAACAAAGTGACGTGACGTTTAAACCAGATCACGAGTGCACAAATCCAGAAGGATGGCTTCCACCTCGTCTTCTCCTCTCTCTTTGCATTCGAACGCTTTAAGCATCGCTTCTTGGTAAGAAAATTGCCTTATACCAGTAGAATATATCTAAAATGACCGCGTGGGAAGTGAATGGCAAAGTCGCGCTCGTGACCGGTGCTGGATCAGGTTAACATCCTTACTCCATTTTCGAAGTTATCAATACTAACAGAGTTCAGGTATCAACCATGCGCTAACTAGAGCGCTTCTCGAGTCAGGTTGTTCAGTCGTCATGACGGATCTAAGACTACGTCCCGAGGCCGAAGATACACTGAAGAAATATCCTCATTCCCCATCCAAGCCTGGCACTGCGTCGGCTATCTTCCATCGGACAGATCTCACCGACTGGTCACAGATCAACAAACTGTGGGATGCGGCACTCGAGACATTTGGAAGGGTCAACCTGCTCATCAATGGGGCCGGAATCTATGATCCCCCGTTCAGCGACTTTTGGAACCCTCCTGGAATCTCGCCTCTGTCTCGAGACCAAGCCGATGCCAAGGTCGGCATGTATCAGGCCTACGCTTTTAACACCATTGCCCCCGTCAGACTTGCCCAGATCGCCATTGAATACTGGTTGCGTCCCGAAAACCGGCATCTGTCAGGCAACATCCTCTGGGTCGCTAGTATGGCGGGCTACGTTCATGGCCTCATTACGCCGTTCTACTACTCGAGCAAGGCTGCCGTTGTCAGCATGTGCAAGTCTCTTGGATCTTTGAACAAGATTGCCGGTATCAGGAACGCCGCACTCTGTCCGGGAGTTGTCGACGTATGTTTCGAACTGCCTCAAGTCCGTCATGTTCACATAGAATGAGTGCTGATAGCCTGCTGCAGACCCCAATTTTTCACGCTTCCTACAGTCGAGAGCGTGTACATGCCGACGACTTGATGCTTAGCGTTGATGAAGTGGTTAATGTCGCCATGTCTGCCATCTGTGACCCCAAGTATGGCGACGGGAACATTATCGAGGTGTTCTGTGGAGGAACGAACAAAGACCACAAAGTCGCCGTTCGAGATGTACCTTTGGAAGGCTTGTATGACGCTGAGGGCATGAAGGGGCTGGCCACTGGAACGCATATTCTTGACAAGCAGGACGAATTCGAACAGAAGCTGAAGATGAGAGGTTTGGAGTTTCCTCCAAAGATCTAGGGCCGAACTATACTTGAGTCTATGGCGCATCGCATCGCTCAATGGGAATGAACTTGGAAGCTTTCTCTGCCATAATCTGACAATGCCGACGATATAGCGCTTTTACTCTGACCTGCCCCGATCAACTGCTGCACTAATAGTAATGTAGACCCAAGGAGATAACAGCGTGAGTGGTCGAGCTGGAAGCGGGTATAACGCTGGCCGGTTCTATGTACCTGCATTTCGCGGCTCCGGGTTCGTTTCCTTGCCTGTGCCTTCAAGCCTCTCCAAAAACCTTTTCACCTCAAGGTCAACACGGAGGCTATCCCGGAGCTCGTCTCCAGTGGTTCCTTCTATCTCAAGTCCCTCCAGAGACCTAGCGCGACTCAGCGCGACATAGGCCTGGCCCTTTTCGAATACGGAGCCGAGGTTCACGATCAAGCGATCTAGTGACATGCCCTGACTCTTGTGGATGGTCATGGCCCAACCCGGCGCGAGAGGTATCTGCGTCCTCGAGAACATGGCGTAAAACTTGGGGCCTTTTCCACCTGTCTCATTGACAGTGCAATCTGGGCCAATGACGCGTGTTGTGCCGTCGCTGAATCTTACCAAGGGTACTATATGTGTAACATCATTAGAAAAAGCTCGCGAACTCCAATTGTATCCCTTTCATCAAGTACATGTAGGCATTGTGTTACTCACATGGGTCGGTGCTGTCATCTATGAAATGCCTCATCTGACGGTATCTTTCCGTGGCACGACGATAGCCCTCAGGGTCCTTTTCGTAGTTTTGTTTCTTTGGCTTAGTAGGCATTTCGAGGCTGTCACGCTGCACAAAGTCAACGATTACGCCTTGACTGCCGTTAACCAGCTTTGCCCCTAGGTCTATCTGCAATTCAAGGCCGTCAGCAAACATGGTACTTCCTGAGGAAGCAGGCGGGGATGACTGACATTCGCGAGCAGAATGACAGGCATGTTCCGCTTCAGTTTCAAGCAGCTAGCATAACGATGCTCTTGTAGTAGTTTAGAGACGGCCTGTGGTATTTCTACCTTTGATTCTTGCTCATTCTAAAACCAAGCTAGTATATCCCATTTCTCTTGAGTGAGACCTCATGTACATAAACATTGAATGATCCAAGGGGAAGAGTGCACTCACGTCGTTAACATCATACTTCGAAGGCCTGTACACATCGTGGCACTTGTAGTCTTTCGAATTACCGGGAAGCTCTTCGAGTGATGAGGTGTTGCGCTCGTCGACCTCTTCTCGGAGGCTGTATAATCGAGCTCCATTCTCGACTTCCGTGGGGTGCTGGAGAAGCGTACCGATGTCGTCCGCATCAAGTGCCTTGCCCAAGCGGCACTTTTGAAGGATACCGACAAACTCTTCATCCTTCTGGCGATGAATCCTCCTCAGATGCACGTACTTGAATTTCCATTCTTCCCACGCCGTAGATTTGAAAGCCCATTTTTCGTTGGCCTGAAATGTCGGATGCCCTTGAATGGGACAAACGTGTGAAGCCGCCGTATCGGTCCTCTCCTCTTTTGTCTTTTTGACACATCCATTGTGGAGGCAATGCTCGAATGGCTTGACAGGTGGTAACTGACAAAAGTCGCCAACTACGATGATCTGAACGCCCCCGAACGGGCCGAAGTCAATCCATCCGACTTTGTCTTCTTCCGGCGTACTCTTTTTTCCAGGTTTCCGTCGCAGCCCTCGAACATGTCTCATGATGTCACTTAGTCGTTGGAAAAATCGATTCTCAACCATGCTAATTTCGTCAATGATGAGGACGTCGGTGCTGCGGAATCGGTCGAAAATTTCGCCTCTTGATTTTGCAATGATGGCATCGAATGTCTTCTTGTTATCGTCAGGCATCCAACCAGCGTAATTGAAAGCTGTCCTGCCGTTGATGTTGAGAGCAGCGAGACCAGTAGGCGCAATTAGATGGACCTTTTTGTGCTTGGCCTCGAAATTTGTCTGAAGGGCTTTGACGAGGACCGATTTACCGCATCCGCCGGATCTGTCGGCATATCAGCAAACGATGCCGCGGAGTTGCCATGTTCACAAAGCAGAGGATTGACAAAATGGCCCGCATCAACACACTAAGCAACGTACCCAGTAATGAACAGGTTGTGCTCTGCCATAGCGAGGTTCATTGCCTCTTGCTGTTCATTGCAAAGAGGAGGCTCTTCAGGGTCTGGAACAGGCTCGATTATCTGATTTCGTAGCTTCGCACTATTGAACATGTTAGCATATATTGCGATATATCCTGATGCGTGTTTCGAGGTATGCACAGGGATGGCGGCATTTCTTGAGGTTGCTGCTGAGGTACATGCCTTGCTTCTTCTGCCTCGAGCTTTTCTGTCAACTTATTACGCAGGAGATCCACCTATGATTAAACACATCAGAGATACTATTTATCGCCGAGCAGAATGGTGTCTCACGGCGTCATTGTAGTTCTTCGCACTCTTGTCTGTGTTCAAGCAGTGAGCCTGGGAAACTGGTTTTTGCAATGTTCGAGATGCAACTTACACCCTGCCCCTGGATATCTTTTAACCAAAGGCTGACATTTGTCCCAACTTCCGAATATGCCGGTTTCCATTCCATTCCATACCACGAAGTACTTTTTGGCGCCGGAAAGTTCCTTTGGTATGCCCGACGCGTACTTTCTCATCTGGTCGTTCACTTTGTCTGCTACTGACGTTTGCGGGGGGTTATCAGAAGGCTCAGCATCGTTCTCTGCTCGAGAGCCGGAGCTAGCTTCAGAGCCATCTTCATTGTCGCTGTGTCCCGTTGAATCAGTGGAGTCGGGCTCTGGTTGGGTTGGGATCGGGATCTTTTGGGCGACGGCGCGGAGAGTGAGCTGCTCCTGGCGCGTTTGGACCCGAATTGGACTAGTCGTTGGAGTATTAGCCATATTTTTTTTTTTTCGAATGATGACCTTGTAGCCAAGTTCTACGAACGTTTTGTTTGTTTGAGGGCCATTTCGGTTAGTCCGACTTTTGCGAGACGGTTGTAAAGATCCCGCGTCCTTGGGCAGAGAAGCTCTGGCACAATCGCGTCACTCTGATATTGAATGAGACAGACGCGTCGCGGACTGATTAGATTGGGTGATAGGCTCCCAATGTAACCTAGGTAGGCTCGGGCCACCCGTTGATAGGAACTATGGGGCTCGGCTGAACCAGAACAAATGCTTCGTGTTCGCAAACTAAGGCACCTTGGAAACTGTTGACCCTCAAGAAAGGAGAGGATTAGTTACAGTAGAGTTCTTTTTTGTTGACCAACAATGTCACACATCAACTGGCGTTCCAACGCCTTTGGAACGGGAATATATGGCGTCTGTGGTCTGGGTACGGCACTCGGTGCTAAGGGTTTGGATGAACTAGCCCCAGAACGGCTACGGAGCTGAGGCACCAACATGCACTGCACCGGCGCACACATCCGTGGAGTCTGAACCAGCTTGCTGCTTTCGCCGCACCCTCACTCCGTCCAACTACGTGCAACCAACATTGGATCCAACGCGTATTTCCGATCACCATTCCCGCCATCCACTGCTTGTCCCCCGCACGAAGCGAGTCAGCAACTAGCAGGGACCCCATTCCGGGGCCCCGGACAACTCCCGAGCCTCCCCCCAGCTCCAACGTCGTCGCTGGACACTTCTCCGCCCAAACCTGACAACAGTCGACGACTAAGATCCTCGACGCCGCAAACATCGTCATCTTCTAGCGAATTGGGTGTCGTGATATGGCGGAGCCGCACCACTTTTTCGCGGGGATCCCACTGCAAAAAGCAAGCTATGGCTTGAGTGGGGGAGCAGCTTTGTCTCGAATCGGTCCAGAAGCGGCGTCATGGGGACATGGACCAACGCCAACATGACCCCCACCTAGGCCTGACTGGCGTGGATTCGTGGGGTCAATGTGCCGCCAGTGGAGATGTTTGACATCGTGAGCCTTTCGCGGGGTGGAAGAACCAAGCTTGGTCTGCACGTTGGCTCTATCCCAACTTTCCAAGGTGCCTCTGGAGATGTGGAAAACGTTGGATCCGCCCATGCTATCAATGTCAATCTCTCTTGCGCCTTGCTCCCTTGCTCTCACTCCAAAGCATTGATACTCATCAGCCATCGTCACCATGGTCGTGAGCGGCACGGAGGTTGCGAAGAATAACACCAAGGACTCGTGCTGGGTCATCGTGCATGGCCAAGTATGGGACGTCACAGGTAGGTACATGCCCTGGTATCTCGCTCCATAATGCCAGCTCACACCAAACCAGACTTCCTTGATGAGCACCCTGGCGGCGCAAAACTCATCATCAAATGTGCCGGCCGAGACGCGACAGAGGACTATGACTCCATCCACAACCCAGATCTCATCACAGAGACCCTATCGCCAGACCGGTGTCTGGGCCCCGTAGACCCAGCAACACTACCAGAGCCACAAGACCCCTCGTCCAACGCCCCTGAAAAGCAAAAGCCAGCTTTCCCGCATCTAGGCGCCATCATCAACGCCGACGATTTCGAAAAGGTCGCGGAGAAGTACCTCTCGCCTATGGGCTGGGCGTACTACTACTCCGGTGCAGAAGACGAACGAAGTCTTAATGACTCACGCCGCGTATTCCGCAAGCTTGCCCTCCGTCCGCGCATTCTCCGAAACGTCGACTCCATCTCCACGTCTACCAATATTCTTGGCCTCCCTTCCTCCCTACCTTTCTACATCTCGCCTACGGGACAGGCCAAGTACGCCCACTCCGAAGCTGAGACGATTCTCTCGAGGGCTGCGGGCAAGGAAGGGATTCTGTACTGTATGCCCACCAAGCCGAGCGCGTCGGTCGAGTCCATCTTCGGCGCTAGAGTGAACGAAGCACAGCCGTTATTTTTCCAGCTGTACGTAGATCGGAATAGAGAGAAGGTACAAGCTACAATTCGAAAGGCAGAGAGGTTAGGCGCAAAGGCGATCTTTGTAACGGTCGATTCGCCCGTCATCGGCAAGCGCGAGCGCGATGAGAGGCTGACTGTTGGCGATGAGCCCCTTTCAGAGCCCAGCGGCGTGGCGAAGACGACGGCCTCTGGGTTATTGAATGCGGCGTTGACGTGGTCCGATCTAACATGGATAAGACAGACGACCTCGTTGCCGATTGTTATCAAGGGGATCCAGTCGGTTGAAGATGCGGTCATCGCTCACCAGCACGGCGTGGACGGCATCGTGCTATCGAACCACGGCGGGAGGTCCCAAGACACGGCACAGGCATCCATGCTCACACTCCTCGAAATTCGGAGATACGCGCCGCACCTCCTCTACCCCGAGACAAGAAACAAGTTCCAGGTGTTTGTCGATGGTGGCATTAGGCGTGGTACGGATGTCCTAAAGGCTATTGCGCTTGGTGCCACTGCGGTTGGCGTTGGTCGGCCGTTTTTGTATTCAATGACCGCTGGCTATGGCGGGGCTGGTGTGAGACGATTGGTGCAGATTCTAAGGCATGAGCTGCAGACTAATATGGCGCTCGCGGGTGCCACGAGTGTGGATGAAATCGTTCCTGCGATGGTTAATAGCGAACGTGCTGAAAAGGAAGTTACAGGGAGGGTGAAGCTGTAGACTATTTCGAGGGCCAAGCGTCAACTAAGAACACTGACAAGTACTGTGGTCATCTGTAACAAGGAGCCTTCTCATCATAGAGTCTATCTAAGGCACTTCAGTAAAGTCGTTTTGTTACTTATGTGGTGTGGAAGAACAGCGTATGACGGGAAATCCTGCTACGTCACAATACGAAGTGACCTTCCAGCTTGCTAGGCAATGATTCTCTATACTGAGTTGCGGACAGAGAGAACAGATTCACGAGCCCAAAATCCATTGCCAAGTGTCTCGGACTAAGTTCAATCCCAAAATCTTTGGGGAGCTTGAGGCATCGTAAACACCATTGAGACTTCCAACGTAAACATATGCAGCGGAGGAAATTCTTCCTCAAGACTATTGACCGATCATGATAGGATTCCCCAGAAGAAACCTCAAATGAGATATCTGAACCCCCCAGCAACCTGCGCCTGCGTCGGCCCATGCTTCCCCGTGTCTTCGCCCCGGTCCAACTTGGCATTCAACCGCGTCAACCAGATCCTCGTCACTGTAGCAAACGCAATCGCCAACCCCGTCGCCGCGATATTCACAATAAACGCTGTAACGTATCTCGGCGCACCATAGTAGAGATAACTACCCCAAATATTCGGCGTGTTACACATGGCATTAATAAGCGCAATAGCACTCGCGCGCTTGACCGAAGGCTGGGCCAGACTACCCGTGATCCACGAGAGCACGACCACGGCGGCAGCGTAGAAGGAACCGGGGAGGAGCATCATGGCGACGTAGCGTGCTGCTGTATTGGTCGTTGAGACGGCGATGATGTTGGCGACGAGGGTGATGCATAGCGGGATGACGATGTGCAGGAAGCGTTCCTGCTTGCGGTCTGAGTGGAAACCGTTCAGGAGCATGGTGATGACGCAGAGGAGGAAGGGGGGCGCGGTGAGGGCGTAGGTCATCGTGCGGGAGAAGCCAAGGCCGCCGACGACGGATGGGAAGAAATTTGCGACGGCGCCGACGATGTAGGTCTGATTGTCCGTATAAGTTGAGAGGTCTCGCGAAGGGGTCAGATGAGGGAAGCATGCGACTTACAGAGTAGAGGACACCCATCAGCATCCAGGTCTTTGGGTCAGTGACTGCCATCATGAAGCCCTTCATAGCGGTGACTTCGCTGGAATCATCTTCCTGACCCTGATCTGCGGCAAAGTTGTATTGTACCCACTCGCACTCCAGCTGGGTCAGAGTGGGAATCTTCTTGTTGGAGTTGGGCAGAATGCACGCGAACGGGATGGCCAAGCCGACGGTGATGACTCCCTCAACGAGGAAGAGCTGCGGTTGTAATGATGAGCCCAAGAAGTCTTCAGATGGAGAGGAGAGAATGAGGACATACCCAACGCCAACCTGCAAGTCCGTGTGCACCATCCAGATTCAAGATGGCGATGGCGAAGAGCCCGCCGAACGCATTGCCCAGCTGGGAACCAGAATAGAGGATGGCAGTCCGCAGGGCAAATTGCTTCCGGTTACTAGGTAGATAGACACAAATCAATATTCTTGGGACCAAGAGCACATGAATGGGATCGCTTACTAGAACAAGGAGAGGAAGTACAGTGCTCCAGGGAAGAAGATGGCCTCAACGAAACCAAGGAAGAAGCGCGCCATCAAGAGGCCTTCGTAGTTGTGCACCACGGCCATGAGGGAGGAGATGACGCCCCAGGCTGCCATGCCACAGCAGATGTACGCCCCGGGCCACTTGATCTTGCCGACGATCATGTTAGAGGGGACTTGCATGAGGACTGCAAAGCTTCTGTATTAGTTGGGTTCTAAGAAGGTAGTGCTTCTCCGACTAAAAGGATTATTGGTTCTTACTGTATCCAACAAATAAGATGCTGACGGTCGTCTGGTACTCGACTTGGCTCAGGTTCAGGTCTGTGGTGATGTTGGCGAGCTTTGCGCTAGCAATGTTTTGGCGGTCGAGGTAGTTGACTTCCAATATGTTAGTCGTGTCCTCTTGGAGAAGACGACTAGGGTAGGCGGGTTGCAGTTACGGATGTACATGATGACCATGATGGGCATAATCACCAGGTCCATTTTCAATGTTGCCTTCTTGCCAGTTCTCTCGTACTCTTCCTGGCTCAAGGCCGCCAAGCTGGCGGGCATCATGAGGTTGCCGCCATGCTGGCTTAGCTTATCGGCGTTGACGTCCTCGACCTGGTCTGAAGACTGCTCTGTCTTGTCCATATCCATGGCTTCGTATCGGTCCGAGACTGATCAGAGCCTTCTTATCTCGTGGCTCTAATATTTAATAGCGAGTGGTAACGAAAAAGGAAGTTGGCGTGACAGACAAGAAGACCTGTCTACGAGAGGTCAAACATACGGCGGTCAAAAGACGCGGGAAGGGCCCTGAACTTAATCTCCATTTCCCCGGACCCTTCAACCTTAGAACAACCTCCCATTCCGTCTCCTCGTCCCACAATCATCTGCTTCCCTTCGCTTTTTCCCTATCCTGAGGCAAACGTGGAGAACAATCCAAACGCGGGGAAACGCCCCATGGGGTAGGGCCCAAAATGGCAGCATCCAAGCGATGCCTTTGTTCCTTGCTGCTTGGCCATCCCTGAACCCCCCAAACATCAGCCGACTTGTCTTCGGAATGCCCCCACCTTGCAGCTCTCCAGCATCAGATCCAGCCTAAGGGCAGAAGAAATATGGGATTTCTTGGATACCTGGGGCCAGGGATGTTTGCGGGACTATGTGGGGGTCACACGTTGGGGATCATGGGGCAACTCTTTTTCGCCGTCTGGGTGTGGTGAGCTCTCCAATTCCCTCGAGCTCCCAGGAAACGAGTACAGTTTCCGCAAGAGCCATATCCATGATCGGAGTGCTCGGCTCACGAATTTGACATCCCTTCTGACCCTTGATAATCTTTCTTTCTGTATAATTTGATTGTACTATGATAACCCTATGAGGATGATGGATGACCAAGACCTAGGTCGACGATAGACCTCAAAGGTCCTTTCCCCACCTCCACGGTAGCCATCAATCATTCAATCTGTTCTCGTCTTTGACCCCCACCTCGGCATCCCTTTTCCAACATCCATGAATCGCTGACCGCCTGGCTAATCCTCCATGCCTTCGACAGGGGTATCATTGTTAAGTTCTACGTGACCAAAAGCAGCATTGAAGGGATCTGAATTCATGACTGAAGAGTACATGTACTCCGTAGACTTCCCATCGCTTACATCTTCTTGAACTCACCCACATACTTTATTGAACATGTGATGGGTTAGCTCGTCTTACTCTCAGCATAGACCATGTGAAGAAGTCCGCCCGGCACTTGAGCAACCAGGACTGAATAGGTTTCAACCTATCACTAGAACAATGCATCGCTATCCGTCTCCCTTACATGTAGGGTTCACTATGTCCATCTGGGTTTGATGAGCCAATGTGTTGTCCATGCCCGGGCAATGCCGGTTTGATAACGCTATTTCCCCGATATTAGGCACGCCACATAACTCTAAAGGTTCAACGTATGCGTACCTAGGCAGTCGCCTGGGTTCAGGCGAGCCCGACTAATGTCTTATGACTACAAACTTTGATAGTACATTCCTCATGGCACGTCGTTTTTGTCAGCCCATCTTCAGCGCCACTCTGCAGAGATGGTCCGGCAGGAGAACGCCACATTTCACCGTCGCGGACTGGAGAACCTATGACAGTGCAAGAGGTCACCATGCAAGCCGCACCCAGCTTTGCCTCTGCAATGAACTTGTCAGTTGACGAGGTGATGGCGGTTTGAGAGTCACTCTGCTCTTTCTTTTTTAAATGTGAAGAAGTCAATAATAGGACGAAATGATTCAGGTTCAATCAAGGAATACCAAACATGTTCTTTGTTTCCTTCAAGAGGAACGTACTTGCGGTGTTGCTTGCTTTGGATAACATAATCCATGTACAAGAGCTTAAGGATACATCTTGAACACAAGTATCCGCAGCCTCCATCAGTAAGAGCACATCTGGAGCACAGACTTTCCATAGGAATGCGATAATATATATTCCGTTGGCTATGCTAGCTCCAAGTTTGTCTCTAACACTGTACAGGAGAATGAGAAGAGGACTCAGGTAACACACCGCCTACAGTAGCATCTGAACAACAAGCAGAAGCCTTCATTCTGACACACTTCATCACCCATCCAGGGTGAGTGATATCAGAGGCAGAATTCTATGCCTCTTATTGCTGATGGTCAGACTCATCAGTGGCGGAGCTTGGCGCAAGCGGCACTAGCCTTTGCGCTGGGGGTGGCAGAACGAGTCGCGGTGATCAGGGTCGTCGAAGGCAAGCTGCTCGGGACCGTTGCTTCAGCTGCCGAGGTGCTGTTGACGTCGCTCGATCCGCCGGTCCACACAGCAGGACCAGGCATCGGGAAAGCCTTGTATCCGTTGTAGAGGCTGAAGCTCACGTAGGGATCGGTATACTTGTAGGCGCCAGGGAACTTGACCAGCGGGCCGGGAGTCCCGTTGCCGCCTCCTGTGACCTTGACCTGGACGCAAGAAACGAAGTGCTCAGGCTCGTGGTCGAACGACTTGTGGACGCCTAAAGGATTGGTTAGACTATCAGAGTGAAAAGACGTTTGCAAATATAAAGCCAGTATTCTTACCAATGTGCTCGAAGCGCAGGAGGTACTCGCCAGATGGCGTATCCTTGGGAATAGTGGCGGTAAGAGTGTTCTTGTCCCAAGTGCACCAAGCGTCTTTGGTGAAGTCACCACTCTGGGTGCAAACGCCCGTCTCGCCAATCTTGAACCAGTCACCCGAGCCGTCGTAGTCCTTGACGCTGCCATCAGGAGCTTTCGACATGTAGTACAGGGCAGGCCCTGTAGTAATCGGACGCAAATATCAGTCAACATTCAACTTCGAGGCGAATCACGCGGCGACAGGGTTTCTAACCAGGGTGCTGCATGGTAGCGCCCACGCCAAGCTTCACCGTAACGTCGCTTCCCGCAGTGACGTCGAGGACCTGCGTCTTGGCGGCGTTGGTGAAAGCTCCCTGGTTGCATCTGCTGTCCGGGCCGTCGATGTAGGAACCATCGCGAATATCGGCAGCCGGGTTGTTCGAGAACTTGATCGGATTGTACTTGGTGGCACGGGTGAAGTCTCGGATGTATTGGAAAGACTTTCCGGCGGCACCATCTTGAACCACGGTGTCGAAGAAGTAATGAGCGGATGCCACCTGGGCAACGGCTAAGATAACAGGAGTGAACTTCATTGTGACAAAAGATGTTGCGTTGTATGGAATGGATATACCAAAAGAGTGAAGAGAAGTAGAAACAAGAACGACTGAGGCGTATGGGTTGAACGGGAAGGCCAATGACGGAAGAACCAACCTCTCTTGTGTTTTATATCAGGAACTGTCGTATCAAGGTCCACTGACTTACGAGTTAATAAAGAACACTTCGCACTACAACATTTTACTATTGAGACCCGATGTTTCAAACGAATTGGGTAAGTGGTGATGCCGTGGAGTCCTTCAATGAGAGCTATGGCCATCTCCAGACAACGAAAGTGTACCTACTGTACTACAGCCCTTAGGAGTTTAAACCTCTATGCTTCCTCATAACGACTGTTCCAGAATTTCACGTAAGATTCAAGGTGCAATCACGGTCACAAAGTTCCCTGCCGTAATTTGTAGTTGAATAATACATATTAACCTGGCCCCTGAGTTTCATGTTCACTCTATGTCACTTACCGAAGAGGGACTAGGGAGCCCCAACTTCGCTGCTATGCGAGCAGTTCGGACGTTCCCGAGACTAGATCACCAAAATTTCTATTGGAGCGATTTATTTTCTCTCCCTGCTCCAATGAGTGCCACTGCAGCTTCGTAAAAATGACATGAGCACAACATTACTTCGAATATATTATCCAAACTCCTTAATTCTGGGTCTGGCGGGCCGGCATGCACCAAAATTCGCAATCTCTAGAGAATAGCAATCAGAATGACTTTCGTACTGATTGATATCCTGCTAAAGGGGATGCGAGACTCCCGCGTTGTTCGGTAGTTTCTTGAATGCCCCATGTATATGAGATCCGCAAAACTCCCGGAGTTGTCATTTTTCTTGGCGCGCGGATTCAACCCACTTCCACATTCCTTTCCATATCAATCATCACACTCTTTTTTGGTTCATGATTGGCTGATCAGATGTCACCCTTCACAACTTTGCTTGGTGTTGTCGGCCTAGGCGCCTTGGCACTTGGCCAGGTTACCGTCGACACCACCTCCAAGCTGCAGAGAATCGACGGATTTGGCTTCTCTCAAGCTTTTGGGCGTGCCAAGGAGTTCCAGAACGCACCCACGGCCCTCCAGAAAGAGGCTCTTGACCTGCTTTTCAGCCCTACCAAAGGTGCTGGGTTCAGTATCATCCGCAATCGCATTGGTTCCGGCGGCAAAGGAGACAGCATTCTTCCCACGAACCCTGGATCGCCTACAGGCAAGCCGACTTATACTTGGGACAACGACGACAGCGGTCAGGTCTGGTTCACGAAGCAGGCCGTCAGCTATGGGGTGAATCAAATCTACGCTGACGCTTGGAGTGCTCCTGGATTTATGAAGACGAGTGGTAACGAAGCGACAGCGGGGTGAGTTTCGAGGACGCAAGTAGTCACTTGAATGGCTACTCTCTAACACCTTCTAGATACTTATGCGGCACAACCGGTCATACCTGCTCCTCTGGGGGTTGGCGACAAGCCTACGCCGACTTCCTCGTGCAGTATGTCAAGTACTACCAGCAAGCCGGACTCAACATTACCCACCTAGGCTTCCTTAATGAGCCCGACTTTTCGTAAGCATCAAGACCCCCCTTGCAGCTAGGGACATGGACTGACAAACTCACCACCCAGCCCTGGATACTCCCAGATGCAAATCAGCTTCAATGCCCAGGAGGCCATCTCTTTCATCCCCACTCTGTCCAAAGCCGTTCAATCTGCCGGTCTCAAGACTGCAGTCACTTGCTGTGATGCTGTTGGCTGGGGCTCAACCGTCAAATACACCAACGCTCTCGTTGCCGCCGGTATGGAATCTCACTTGGGCCTGATCACCTCGCACACCTACTCAGGCGACGCCAACACCGCTCTTAATACTAAGCTGTCTTCCTGGGTCACCGAGTCTGGCATCACGACAGCCTTTGATCTGACCTGGTACAAGAATGGAGGCGCCACCGAGGGCATGACCTGGGCCAACAAGATTGCCGTTGGTATCATCAATGCCAATCTCTCTGCCTACCTCTATTGGGAGGGCTTTGAACTCAAGCAGCTACAGTCTGATTCCCACCTTGTTGATACTCAGGATGGAAAGACCGCGACGCCGTCCGCCAACTTTTGGGCATTCGCCATGTGGTCCCGGTACATCCGCCCCGGCGCGCAGAGATTGCAAACGTCGGGCATGGTGGCATCCGACGTCTTGACCGCAGCAGTCAAAAACAAGGATGGGTCTATTGTGGTCATTTTCACGAACAATGACAGCGCTGCTAAGTCTGCCAGCGTCTCATTCAAGGGGTTCACTCCCAAGTCTGCGAGCGCGTGGGTTACTGACAACAGCCACAAGTTCGCTTCCACGGCGTCCACTATCACGGGCTCGGAGGTATCCGTCTCTGTGCCTTCTAAGGGTGTCGTCACCGTTAAGTTAATCTGACGGAGTCGCGGAGATGATACCATAAGCACGTCATGATCCAGCAACATGCCAGATCTCTGGCCATTACGTGTGCACTGTTTATTATCCTAGGTAGAATTGTGATGAAACAATGATATGTAGCTATCGTCTCTTCTTTGAGAATAGACCCCCATTCTCTAGATTCTCGCCTAATGTGCGCCGGTCCCCGTCTTATCATGTCAGAAAGTCGCGGGCGAGCTCGACGCTGCTCTCGTGCACTGGATTGTGCTCGGTGGAACCTGTTCAACTGTCAACGTATGTATCTAGACATTGTTCTTCTCTAAACTTGATGTTAAGAACCGATGTGAGTTGTCATAATTATTGAGTATTTAAGCGAATCCACTGGCTTCAATTTTTCTCGATTCTCCTCTACCTTAATCTTATCACTCAGCCGACCTGTGCGACAGGTGCTTTTTCTTTGTGGGCAGAGACTCGCATGATATGCAGCCGACAAGGATAAGACTCTTCACATCAAGTTCCCGTGCCCAAGCCCAACTTTTACGACATACCGACGCCAGGAGTCTTGCAGAAGAGGGTCATTAGACAAGTCGGATACAGTGGGATTACAGAACTGGTGAAGTTCGAGGTCTAACAATCCACGATTCCTGGGGGTTTAGGACGGTTCGCTAACAACACAACGTTGTCTTTACTAAAGTAAATCACTGACTGCAACAATAGCTCCGTCATTTGACAACGAGGAAATCACTCAGAGAGATGTCCTCGAGCCTGAGTTGAATGGCCAATGTTGGGAATGAAGTGACGGCCAGATTTAGCCTTACTTGGTACTTTGTGACAAGGACTGCGTGGCTCTGAATAAGGACCCCGGGACAGCGGAACCCCTTGGGCTCAGATGGAGTTAGGGCTGTCGGGCGAAGCAATCACAACATTAATGACTATCTTGACTATTATTTCCTGTCATCTCGAATCTCAACCCCTCCCAGTGGGTCAATGCACTGTATCGGAATAAGAAAACGTCAAGAGAAGTGGTTATGACGGATTGAATAGGACTCTGTGTAAATCAACCTTAGTGAGATTGGGCATGCGTCTTTGATGACTCTAAGGTAGTCTGAGCTTAAGTACATATTTGGTGGCGGGAGGAGCCCAGATGGAGGTCCGGTGTCACATTGATCGCGCAAAATCTCCATGTCTTCAGTACCAGATGTCATTGAAAAGCAGAGACTGAGAACATCAGAATCCTCAAAGGTCAACAAATATTGTCCGTTCTGAGAGGGAGTGTCAGCTGGACTGATGGATTTTGCTGCTGGCGACAGCGGAAGCTGGAACCTTCGGGGAATTTGGGGATTTTATAATGGGGAGTGGCCCGTTGCGGGCATCACCGCATCAAAAACACCACACTGGTCTTGGCGGTAATACGAGAAGATCGGCGGTCATTTTGTCCACATTTTTTCTGCCCGATGTCACTACCTACGCAACAAAACAATGTTGCTGTCTCTGTCAGGGATTAGCTTTCAGGTCTTGCAGGCTACCACTTCCAGCGCTTTCTCTCTCTTCGGACTTGTTTGCCTCCCTGTAAGTGTCACTATCTCCAGTAGAAGTAGCACCTACCCGGTATTACCTGCCGAATGCCAGTATACCGGTCTTCGCTTGATAGAAGTTTTGCGGAAGTTGTGGTATTAGTGCCCTGGTCAAATTAGAGTTCTTGATCGATGTGGAGAATCGAACAGTTCATCTCATGTGCTATTTCTGGCATTGCCTACCCACGAGACAAAACTTTTCGAGAGAGGAGCTGTTGAGAGTGAGACAGAATTGCTTGTCATTCGTGTTTACCCGCTTCCAACACTGCCATGGTTTCCTTTACGAGAACGCAGCCATTTTGGGATTTGCCGGACAGGCATTCCCCACACAATGGTTACCTCCCAAGCGACGGTGACGTCGAAATCACCAACCTCGCTTGTCCGACCAAACCGACTTGGCGATGATGATCATATGGTCCAGTATCTCGAGCCTATCGCAAGTATATAATTGACAACCACGCAGCGTCTTCCAAACTGGATTCCTACCCTCACTACTACCAGCCGTGCAACAGAACCCCAGCTATTCCAAACATCACCAGACACGATCCAAGACCGTCCTCATACTGCAAAATGAAGTTCACTCTCGCTACCGTCACTGGCCTCTTCGGTGTTGCTGCCCTCGCTGCCCCGGCGCCCCAAGAGACGGAAGAGCCTCGCCCGTACGAGAACATCGACATCGCCGACCTTTCCGTCCGCAAGCAGCAAAATGGAACAGTCACCAACGTCAGCTTCCTCCTCTCTGGTAACAACGCTACAGATCTGGCCTGCCAGGGTGCGACCGGCGTTCCCTCCGATGTGATCACCTGCGGCGAGTCCAAGTACCGCTTCACGATCCGTCCAGGCAAGGAGACCGAGTTTGCGCTGCGCATCTACCACGAGCTTGGCCTTGCGTAAGTTACTTCCAATCATGAGACTTGAGAACGATGACGAACTGACAGGGGCAAACAGTTTCGGCTACTGGGGCGAGGGCGATGTTTTCACATACTGCCACGCCGGTGGCCTTGGAGACTTGCTCTGCAACCAGGTCAACCCTACGACGATTGTTATTGACAGCACTCCCCCACCTGTCAACCCCTAAATGTTGTTTTCCCGCTCAATAGATAGACCCTTCCAGTGAATAATGTGTTTTTGAATATTACATAACTTGTTCCCGAGCACCAAAACTGGACCAGACAAACTATTGAGAATGTGAGCTGCCAGCAAGAGTACTTCCCCGCGGATCCCGCGTATCTGCTTCCGTACCTGTATTGAGTACCTCGAATTAGGCGCACACATGCTGCAACTGACCAGAAAAACTGGAAGAGAATTCGGAGTCATGAGAGTGACTGTGTCATCGTTGTCGCTATGCTGGGCTGTGTGGGCTTTACCGCCTTTGTTGCAGTGGCAACAGGTCGCATCCGTTTTAAATTGAGGGATAGAAAATCATGGCCTGGATTCTCATGATGATCTGTTTTGTTGAAAATCCAGCTCGCCTAGATCAAAGAATAGGGTTATCTCGTTAAGCAGACTTTACATATTGATCAGTATCATGTTCAACTAGACACAAGCAGGTGAGCAGCAATGTCTGGTCCAGGCTCTCAGTAAGGTAAGATAATTCCTCCTCATATCCTACGAAGTCTATGAAGAGAAAACTCATTCATCTTTTCGATGTTTAAAATTGACTCTGGAATATTAAGTGCTTGTTCGCAAGGATATTATCCGTCTCTCAACCATCAACAAGAGCCAGAATAAATGAAAGGAAAGATATCGATATTTACTGGAAGCCACCACGCACAGACCATCGATGGAAACGGGAACGAAGGGCCGGCCGGGAAAAGGTACGTCCCTCCGTGCCAGCTCTGCCCCGCCTTACCTAATCCGGGTACCTGAGCACTGCGGTGGCCAGGGTGAGGTCAGGTAGGCACGAGCATGTTGCGTAGCTGCGGGAGCCTTCGATTCTAACAAACAACCAAATCAGCCTCACCTTCCCAACCAACAGCCTTTTCAACTGCCAATCCACTGCCACCCCGATTCCGACCTGAGCTCGTGTCGCTACACTCAACACAAATAAACCCCCAGATTATCGCCCAGCATGTCGGAGGCAGCCTTGAAGCCCGAGAAGGACTTCTCGAAGGAGACGGACAAGCAGATCCCGGAGGCAGAGAAGCTCGCAAAGGTGCGGATTACAGCACGGAATTGACGTGGCCATGCGATAAATACTGATATCTCTATAGAGCGATATCTCAGCTGCCATCGAGAAGCTGAGTGTCCTGGAGAAGCAGACCCGCCAGGTGAGCAAGCTGCCCCTCCCTTCCCCAGACGCTGACGTGCTAATGGAGCGCAGTCCTCAGATCTCGCATCGACATCGCGTATACTCATCGCCATTGTCAACATCACCAAGAATGCTGGAGATTGGAGCTTGATGAACGAGCAAGTCCTGATTCTCTCGAAGAAGCATGGACAGCTCAAGCAAGCTATTACGAAGATGGTCCAGGCGGTCATGGGCTTCCTCGACTCTACCCCGAACCTCGAAACCAAGCTCACTGTTATCGAGACACTGCGGACGGTCACCGAGGGAAAGATCTTTGTCGAAGTCGAGCGCGCGCGCGTGACCAAGACTCTGTCTGATATCAAGAAGGAGCAGGGCGACCTCAAGGCGGCGACAGACATCCTCTGCGAGCTCCAGGTTGAGACATTCGGATCTATGGATCGAAGAGAGAAGACCGAATTCATCCTCGCACAAGTCGCACTCTGCATTGAGGTCGGCGACTGGACCCAGGCACAGATCCTGAGCAGGAAGATCAGCACCCGATACTTGTCGCGAAAGCCGAAGAAGACCCCGGAGCAGCTGGAGAAGGAGAAGAAGGAGCGTGAGAAGAAGAAGGCGAGAGGCGAGGAGGTCCCCGAAGAGAAGGAAGATGACACAACAGACCTGAAGCTGCGGTACTACGAGCAACAGATCATCCTCGCGAAGCATGATGACAAGTACCTTGACGTCTGCAAGCACTACCGCCAGGTCCTCGACACCGAGGCCGTCGAGGAAGACCCAAAGAAGCTTCACCCTGTAAGATCAATCCTCTCGGTTACGATCAGTATAATTGCTTACAATCATTCCCTAGGTCCTCCAACGCATTATCTACTTCGTCATTCTCGCCCCTCACGACAATGAGCAGCACGATCTCCTGCACAGAATCCAGAAGGACTCCAGAATCGGCCAAGTCACCCAGGAGGCCGAGCTCCTCAAGCTTTTTACAGTCCACGAGCTCATGCGCTGGCCAGAGGTTGCGAAGACCTTTGGTCCTCACCTGTGCGAAACTGATGTCTTTGACGCCCAAACCGGTCAGTCGGACGACGAGAAGGCGCACCAGCGCTGGTTGGATCTCCGCAAGAGAGTCATTGAGCACAACGTGCGTGTGGTCGCCAAGTACTATACCCGCATCCAGACCCAGCGCCTCACTCAGCTACTGGATCTCACTGAGGATGAGACGGAGAAGTACATTAGCGAGCTGGTCACCTCTAAGACTATCTTCGCCAAGATCGATCGCCCCGCGCGTATTGTGAGCTTCGCCAAGCCCAGAGATGCGGATGATATTTTGAACGAGTGGAGCTCCAACATGAAGAGCTTGTTGGGCCACCTTGAGCGTATCGATCATCTCATTACCAAGGAGGAGATGATGGCCAACATTCAGCCTGGCGCGTCTAAGTCGGGCAAGGGAAAGTCTACTAAGGCGCATTAGACGTCTGGATGGGTGCCGGGATTTTGGCATGGGTTACGGCGTGTAATTGTAGAACACTATCTTAGACGAAGGCAATGAACCAGGCTGGGATGTGTAAAACATGCTTCAGTCTATTCTATGATGAACCAATGCCATTGATGCACCTTTCTAAACCCCTACCCAATTCATTCGTTCGTAAGTTGATGTATGACGTATATCTAAATGTTTGCTTTCGCTGCTTCTTCGTCGGCAATCTTCTTGAGGAAGCCGATCAGCGGCATGGCCCACTCCTTGGTAATAGGCACGTAGTGGCCACCAGGGTGGACAACGACCATAGGCTCCTCGCAACGGTCCACAAGCCCCTGACTCCTTGATTCCTCAACCACAGTATCCAGACTACCAAGGAAGTGCAGTGTAGGCGTCTTGATCTTAGGCTCATACGCCCACTGCAACTCCGCGGGCGGCGCAAAGAAACCAGAGTAAATGCCTGCAAACTTGAACGGCCGACCTCCGTTAGCCTCCCGCAACGCCTGCGCCGAAGCCTTCAGATCCTCCGGCATCTTCTCATCGCGATGCGGGCCCTCCAAGATGGCTGCCAGGAGCGCGGCAAAAGCACCGCCCTGGCTGAAACCCACCACGCCGTCGACGCCGCCGGCTTCGCGGACCGCGTCGGCGACGGTGGAGATGCCCTGGTCCAGGAAGCGGTAGGAGCCCGAGGACTCGTCCTTGCGCCACCAGGCCCAGGCGTCGATTTCCTGGTCCTCGCCGTTGGCGGACTCGTCTGGGACGAACCCTGGTATGTCGCGCGGGGAGAGCTGTGAGGGTCCGGTTGGGTAGAAGAGTGTTGGAACGAGGTTGAAGGGGCCCAGGGATTTTGCGACGAGTTTCTCCAGGGCGCGAGTTTTTGAGCGGAAGAGGGGCCCGGATTGGGTGTAGCCTTGGAGTGTTAGTGATGACTTGATGAGATTGGAGGAGGGGTTATGGGTGAAGAAACGTTGTAACAGGTTGGCCCTGGACGGCCGATCTGGTGTTATAAGAGGTACAAGTACAGGGCACATATCTTACCGTGAAGCATAAGAATCTTGATCTCCTTCTTCCCGTTGGGCTTCTTTGCCGCTGAGCCATTCGGGGCTGCAGTGGTCGACATTTTGCAGGTGAAGATGTGGCTGAGATATGAATGGGTATTCACGCCGTTCTTGGCAGGAAACTGAGAGACCCTAAAGACAGAAACAACAGCTCTGAGACGCAAGTGAATTGAAGTTATCATGTGTGTGTATCTATGATGTAGTTTGAAGGGCGTGTTGAGAAGTCGAGGTGTTCAGTGACAGGCGCAAGTGGATACTGACAAATCCACAGTTGACTCTTCGCCGAAAAGAAGAGAAATTGAGGCGGCGATAAGGACTTGAGCCACGATATCTGATTGGATCACTCCTCGGAGTCCGACGAAGTCTTACTATGGTCTATTCTAGTTTAATAGTAGTCTAATACGGTACGACATCTGCTGACTTATTTTATCACCTTCAATGGTAGAGTTGTCGACTGCTCATTGTCACGTGATACGTATGCCGTCCGTCCGAGCCTCGTTTGGTGATGCTGCGACTCAACTCTAGAGTTGAAGACCTCCCCTCTCGGTCATTGACTTTGAAATCTCTGGTACCACTCAATGAGTTTCAGAGGATGCTGCCTTCGAACTCATGATAGAGTGAAGGAACACAGTGCAATTGCATTGACATTGTTGACGCATTCACACACCCCCTAGGCAAAGAGCGCTCGCATTCCCGGATTGTTATGGCACGTGTGGCATCGGTACATTAGTATAACAGCTCAATTGGATGCGAGCCGTGCGTCTATGATACAGCGTCCATGAAGAATACGCGTTGGCGGGTCTATATCCTCGACACGTTTCCCATTGCTCGGCCTTCTCCCCATACAGCCTGAGCTACTCCATTGCCAACCTAATGCTTCTTGGCGAGAGGGTTGCGGGCATCGTTCTTCCACTCGTCGGCTGTATATAATATTAGTATGCGTCCTTTCGGGGGTCCTTCGTTTGCGCGACGTACACTTCATCATGGCGTTCTGGGCGGAGTTGATGCCGTAGGCAATGACCAGACCTGCAGGATTATCAGCACACGCTGCGCTTCACGTCGCTATTCTTCTCGATCTCTTTCTCGTGCTCATTGCAACTGGATTCGCTCGGGATTCAGCGTTCATCGGGGGACTCGGACATACCGGCAGCGAAGAAAGGCGCCATCGGCTTAACTATAAGGGAGGTTAACAATTGCGCAACGGGTTCACCGGGGCGGTCTTCGAGGAATACGTACGGACGGGCGTGGGGTACTTCTTGAGTGCGCGAGCTCCGAGCCAGGTCATCTTGACGGTTGTGATGTGGGTTGCAGGGGGGAAATTGAAGGGGTCTAGATTGCGGGCGGTATTCGGAGGTTCGATGTGAAGCTATCAAAACGAGCCTTTTTCCTCCGATTGAGCTTTCGGTTTCGGCGGCTGAATCCGTAGCCGAGCAAAGTGTGGCCTGAGGCCATAGCCGCGACAGACGAGAAACAGTGGAGCATCATCCGTTTCTGGTCTTTTTCGGGCACGGGCCAGCTGCCTCCAGCTCTACCGGGGAAAGAGCCGGGTCGGAAATGCGCAGTAACATTTGTCCGTACGTCTCCTCAAGGTCGGATCCACCTCCCTCTACCCCGGCTCTCATGTGACATCATTCGACGCTTCTCCGCATCTGGGCGCATTTGGAGGCGATACGTACCCACCCGTGACCTTAGCAAGCTTCAGCTTCCAGGTTCGCTCACCCGCAGCCCGTTCCCCCGTTCCGTGGCAGGCCGCAGCGAGAGCTTTCCCCAGGTTCTGGGGGCTGAGTTGGACTTGGGACCTAGGGATTGGCGTGGTGGTGGTGCCAGACCCCGAACTCGTAGTGTAGCAAGCCAAACATCTCCTCCCTTGTGTCACATTCATCTTGTCCCTCCCTGCAACACACACACCTCCTCCTCCTGAAGCTCTCTCTCCTTTCACTCCTCTACTACTGCCGCCTTCACTTTACCAGAAAGTGCGGGGGAATCTGCAGAGAACGAGAGACACACACCATTGTTGCACGGTTGTAGCCCGACCTCCTCCTCAACTCATCCAATTATATCCATCCCATTTGCCTAGACTGCCATTGCAAGCACGGGCGAGACCACCACCACCACCACCACCTTGACACCTAACCGCTACCTTTGCATAGGTTGCTACTACCACCACAAACCAGCGTACCAACCTAACCGTCCGTCCGCCGCCGCCGCCTCCAAACGCCTTTTCTGCACGCCGACTTGCTTCCCGTCCTGTGATAAATCCCTGCTCTCGGGTGCTTCCTGCTTCTTGCCGATCGAGACGTATCGAATTCGCTCTCCTTCCTCCTTCACATCACGTACCAGAGGCTTGTTCTTGCTGAACAAAGAGCACGTTTTGTCACCTTTGTTTGAGTAGACAAAACGTTCCTTGGCTCAAGCAGAAGAAGAAACGACACCTCTTGGTCACCATACACCTCCTCATCTCACCTACCTTCTCCAAAACAACCTTTCTTTGCCCAATCCCCCTCCCCAAAACCACCAAAGGCAAAGATGCTGAGCCAGCGATTGGTGCGAGCAGCCGGCGCGGTGACCCCGCGTTCCGCGCTGCGAGCATTCAGCTCCACGAGCCAGCAGCTCAAGGTGCCCTCCATGGCCGACGTCAGCGCCGCGCCCAAGAGCGTCGCCTCCTTCAACGATAAATCGAAGCAATTCCGAGAGCAGTTGGTCGAGCAGCAGAAACAGCGGGAAGCAAGTGCGTTTACTCAATCCTCCTCCCCTGCCTCTTCCTCTGAGCCCGCCCAGGACTCATCCGTGAGTGCTACTTCAGGACAGAAGGCCGAGGCCACCCAGGAGCCTTCGCGCAAGGCCGGCCCCTTGACCAACCTCATCTACGGCACAAAGGAAGGTCGCGAGCTCGATGCTCAGCTCGAGGCGAGCTTCAGTCAGGTCCTTGCCCGAGGCAAGTACGTCCACTCGATCGTCCAGCACGAGGTCAAGCCCGACAAGGTCGAGGAATACACCAAGCTTGTTGGCAGCTGGTACCCGCGCATGGCTTCCATGCCCGAGAATAAGGTCCATCTAGTTGGAAGCTGGAGAACCGAAGTTGGAGACTGTGATACGTTTGGTATGTTACCTTGCCGAGAAAAACCACCCCATGCTGAAGCGAAACCACATGATGCTAATATTAGGTCCGCAGTCCATATTTGGGAGTACCAGCGCTACCAGGGATACCACGAGTCAATCCACAACATTGGCTCCCACCCCGAATTCGCCGAGTTCGATAAGAAGCTTAAGAGCCTCATCACCTCAAAGAAGACGTCCCTCATGCAGGAGTTCTCCTTCTGGCCCACCACGCCTCCTCGCCAGCTTGGCGGCATCTTCGAGCTGCGATCATACACTCTCCACCCCGGCAACCTCCTAGAGTGGGAGACCCACTGGAGACGCGGCCTCAAGGCGAGACGCGAGGTCATGGAGGGTGTCGGCGCCTGGTTTGTGCAGATAGGAGACCTCAACACCGTTCACCACTTGTGGCAGTTTGCCAACCTCGAGGAGCGAAAGATCCGCCGCGAGAAGAGCTGGAGCGTCGAGGGCTGGAGCGAGACTGTTCACAAGACTGTGCCTCTGATTCAGAGCATGAAGTCGAGAATCTTGATCCCGATGCCCTGGTCCCCAGTGGCGTAATCGTGGGGGGTTCTTGGACTCTTTCCCGGCTCAGCCGCGTTACTGCTATGCGTCGCATCGCATGCTTCTACATATCGCCCATATCAGCTTTCATTTATCGATGCCTACAAGGCCAACACACTGGGTACGCTGACCAACCTGAGGAACCATACTGGTCTAGCGCGTGTGAGGCCGACAAAGGCAACTAGGAATGGACTGCTTTCAATGGATTAGGTTTTCCAACATTAGGAAGACAGATGGCTTGGTTTGATCATGGAACTTTAGTGGTTTCCATTCGGCGACTTGTATGTGTACAGAATTCTGGTCAATAAGACCAGCACATAGGAATTTGAAAACAGTAACCTTGCCAAAGACATGCCATCTTGATTTTCCTGCCGAACTCCGGGGTATAGAATTAAATTTGCATATTGCTTCACTCGTCAAACTCCTCACCCATGACAGCTGCTAGGTTTCTCCTAGCGCTGGCCAGCGTGTGACCCAAGGCAACCAACTTGGCAGACAGAGACATGAGATTGGGATCTGGCAGACTCTCAACCCGCACCTTCTCCCTCACGAAGACCTCCGTAGCTTCTCCGTTACTGGATGGTGTACCCAGCCCGCTGGGGCTGCTTCCGCTGCTCCTTGGATGCGCCGTGCCATGCCTGTGCTTCAGCCCGCCATCCGTAACAGTGCTATACGTGAAGCGGAAAGGGCGGTCCATCTCGTCGTGTTCCAGTCTTCGGACTGTTCCCAAGGCTAGACCGAGCTTGGTACCGAAGTGTACCGGCGAATCGACGGGTTCGAGGGCGCGCAGCCAGAGGACCAGACTCGATTCTTGGAGGCCCAGGTGAACGCTGATGTTGGGCCCTAGAGCCGGAGTGAAGTGTACGGGCGGGCAGGAGTCGGTCTGCCAGCTGTGGTCGACTTCGTTCAGGGCCGGGCCTTTGAGGAGGGAGGAAGACTCGTTGAGGGAGGCGGCGATGATGCGCAGCTGGGCGGCGAGCTGAGATGGGTTATTGGAGGGGCTCGGCGTGTCTGTTAGGGATAGAAGGTCGAGGCATTCTGTGAGGTGGGTATGAATTGTTTCGAGAGCCGCGATGTGGACTGGGTGCGAAGCGTCGAGGTTCAGGGTCTGCGTTGGGAGGGTTTTGAGCTGGAGGTGAATTGTCTTGAAGGTGTCAGCCGCGGGTTCGTAGCGGCGAAAGGGAGAGGTAGTCGGCAGAGAACAGACTTACGCCTTTGATGATCCGCGTGCCGACCCGGGTTACTGTGCCCTTTATGCGCTCGTTACGCTGCGTGCTCATGACGAGAGTGCTTCCCGGGTCGATGGGCGCCAGGAGAGCATAGCAGTCCTGCAGGCCGTGGCGGATGTCCTTGAGGATCTCGTGTGTTTCTACGACGATCCATTCAAGCTCGCGGGCCTGTGAGAGTTAGTCGAGTTTGATTAGCATTGCGTCTTTCGAGATTGGGATTCAACGATTGAGGATTCGGCGCGGGGCAAGCAGAGACGGCGAGGGTACGTACGAGGCATTCCTGTTTCCCTTTTATCAGCTCCTCTGGGGCCACGGGAGGCCAAATTGCTATTGACATGCTGTCAACTCAGACTCGCTTCCGATTCAACAGCTCGTGAAGTCTCTCTTGCTTGGTGATATAGTTTGTAGGCAGCCGCTACAGGGCGATTGGTGTTATTCGATTAGCTCATGGTGGACAGTTTGAAGCTCTAGAAGGGCATCTCGTCATCACGGGAGGCTTTGGACCAGGGTGGTCGGTGCGCGGTGCCTTCTTAAGTGGAGGCTGAACCGATTTAGCGGAGGAAGGTGCGCCTGCCCCGCCGCTGCAGACGGGGTCTGGGCCCACTCCATGCACTTTTCTCATCCGGGGGGGCGGTTCAGCATCTTTTTCCATGTCTTGTTGAACACTTCAGGCCGGCGTATCTTACAATCACACAGCTCAAATCCAGAGAACTTCTCTCTCTGGACACATTCCATCTCATTCCGACGTGGCTAGACCCTTTCAAATCTCACACACCTCATCAAGATCCGCAAGATCGTCAAGGCGGAAAGAATTTGCCGTCCCAGACTCACACTCACCCAGCTGCCTACCTTAGCATGGCGCCGACTCGTTCAACAACACAAGGCCAGGCTGGCAAAGACAACTCACCCTCAAATAGACAATCATCGTCCACTATTACCAAATTGCCTAGGTTGCCTGAAGGTAAGCCACTCCAACTTTAGTTCCCCCGTCGATGAGTCTTCGCCTAATCCAGCTCCAGGCTCCAAGATTCAAAAGCGTGCCTTGCCTCGCCGCCAACAGCCCAACTCATCAAGATCACAGCTCATCTACGTGTCCGCATCAACACCATTCATGTCAGCAGTCTCCCGTGTCCGCAAACAGCTAGACAAGTCCCTCAAAGGCAACGCGCCATCGACGCGGGGTCTGAACCTGAACCAACGCATCGACCTGCTCCATCGCGACAACGGCACGAGGGGGGCAAATGGAGAGGCGATCGTGCTCGGCACAGGCAGAGCCATTGAGAAGGTCCTCAGCATCGCGGCATGGTTCACAGAGCAGAGCGACTGCGAGGTCGAGGTGAGGACCAAGACCGTGGGCACGGTCGATGATGTTGTGCTCGAGGAAGAGGATGAGGGATTCGGGGAGGAGAGTCGTGTGAGAAAGATCAGTTGCCTCGAAGTTACTGTGAGGCTTCGGTGATGTTCTGAAAGTCTTGGGAGATGCGGTTCGCTGCCCTTGCGGCGATTGAATAAGTTCAACTCAGTTCCAGGCCTTCGACGGCATTAGGAGGAGCCGGACCGGCCTGGCTCAAAGGTCGTTCACCATGAATTGCGACCTAATAACCGGACTTATTCTGTGCTCGGATATGGCTGTGCTTCCAATTATCGGCTGGCCATCCTGGATGGTTTCTGGAGTCCGTAGGGCAGCATGCTCTGGTAGGATGTTTATGATACCCGGCCACTAGGCTTCAATAAATCTATTGACCAAACCCAAATAAAGTGCGTTCTAGTGGGATAATCATGACCGCTTGTTTGACGGACTTCATCGGACAAGATCATGCCATCAACTCGCCGCACTTCAAACACAGTACCCGCTGCGTTGGCTAATGCTCAGTGGAGGTCCCGCTAACTAGCACGGATTATCTTGCTATACTTAGCTTTGGGAAACAGCTGACCTATGGAAACAGCTTCAACAAGCAAATTTCTAAATTATGTTGACCCCATGCAAGGTCTAAGATGCCTTCCACCCCTCTATTCCAGATGCCCCTATGATCCAAAGCGGCAGGAGGTTCTAGATATTCTCTCGGCCGGATCAGCGGCAAAGCTTATCACTTACGGATTCGGGATACAACTCCGCAAAGATCTTGGATCTATGGAGTTTCTTAGACACAAAGTGCTCGAAATCGCGTCGTTGACTGGCGAGCGATGGGGGCTGGTTGTCAACTTGCTGCAATTCGGCATGATCAGTCACGAACTCTTGAGTCATTCACCTATTTAAAGCCGGCAAAAGTTCGCCGTATCGATGCACTTGTATACTGAATTTACCAAAACAGAGTTTAGACTAGAAGGAAGCGAACTTTGCTATATTGTGTCGGAGCTGTACGGAACACCGAACCGAAATTGCATGCCGAAGCTGTATTGATTCCTTCGCCGGGTCTTATTGTCTCGCTCACAGCGAGTCAACTCGTCCGTATAAAAAGTCTCGGAAATCCTCTGCTTGATATAGGCAAATCAATCCAGTTCCAAGTCTCGTCCATTCTCAATTACTACGCCAAAATGCAGCTCTCCGCCTTCGTATTCTTTGCAGCTTTTGGTGCTGCGTTGGCCAGGCCGCCTCCTGCGCCCGTCGACCCTTGCCCCAGTGTCCGCGACGAACTGGTCGTAAGGATTCCTTCTAAAAAAGGGGCTCAAGTCAATAGATTCAGACGAGCTGACTGTTGCCTCTATAGTGTACCAATCCTGATCTGCAATATAAGCAGTGCACCCAGTTGACCTCAACTGTTTGGTGAGTCAAAGTCTTGCTCTTGTACTTATCATTTCACCTTGCTGATATGACTTGAAGCCGATGTCAATGCACTCCTTGAAAGAGTTTGCTATCAAAGTTGTGCTGATATAAATATACCCCGAATAATTATTCTACTGCATTGACTACTCGTTGTTCCTGGCAAGTTATACAATGGACGCCAAGTGTAGTTGAAATCGCCTGCCCAAGCTATGAATTTGACAAGTGATCATTGAAACTATGACCTCCCAAGCACATCGTCTTGTACGCCAACGCCTCTTGTCGGATATATCTGGGATTACTAATGTATGTTGACCGCCAGGCGGGCTGTGCTTGCATTAAACGTTGGCACCTGGCAAACCTAGAAATCCAACTGGGCCATAGACTTAAGATAAGGCTCCTTCTCGCGAACGGTACATGAATGCAGGTCATTGATTCTCAGTTGGGTCGGGTTCAAGTAAACGCAATCAGATCTATGTGGTACATGGATACTGGCTGACTGGCTCCTGGCCGCCTAAGACGCAGGTAAGACGCTACTGTCTAGGCAGGCACGTAGGATCCCAGGGGTCTGCAAGTTGAGCCAATTTTAGGACACAATCAACTGAAAGTACCAATCCTGAATCCTACGACTGACTCTCCCAATTGGTGAAGATTAGCGGCGATTACGGCGAAAGGCATGGTTCGTTCACTGTTGCGAAAACACTGATACCTAGATTCGATGTCTCGCCTTGATTTGCATCGCCAATCGGAGAGTCCCGCCACCCTTCAGGATTTGTGACATCATAGTAAGCAGCAGAGTATAAGAAGAAGAGCCCCTGGCTTACCTCAAGCTGCTTGGTCACACGTATATGATCGACTGCTAGAAATCGAGATCATCTAATCACCGATAGCCGTTCAGACCAAACGCAACATCGCCTGCTTTGAAGCCAACAGCCATCATCTGCTCAGAGATCAGCAATGCTATCGGCGTCTGAATAACGAAATGCATCGATCGTGGTTTTCGTACTCGATCTCCAAGCCATATCCTTTTCGCTGGTTCACACCCGTCGTTCTGGTTGGCGGTGTCATTCTCGCCGTCCTGCTCTCGTTAATAAACCTGAGCGCAAACGGCTACTACTTAAAGCCTCTGTATACATCTGATCCCAATGCCACTGAAGCCCTTTCAAACGCACAGTAAGTCAAAGATGCAACAATAGCCAAGGATTATCGTACTAAGATTATGATCCCAGATGGTTTAGGAAAATTCCGTTCAATTGGAGGAGCGACGTAAAGGCCGAGTGCCAACCGCGTCTTTTTACAATCGGTGATTCCTTTTTCACCTCGAATCTGGGCTTTAGATACATTATCAAAGCCATTTCGGACTCAAGAACGAACTCACTGTCCAGCTTGAACTACAAGAACAACACTCTTCAAAGCTGCTCACCTCAAAGCATAGTCCTGAAAATGAAGAAGAGTGATACGGCGGTGCCGCCTGCTCCTTCATGGTGGCTGTCATATGGGGAGTCTACAATGGAGGCGACTGTCGACTGCACTGTTGTAACAAATGACGGTCCCGTGACCATAACGCTCGTTACTGAGGAAAATAGTGGAGGGGATCATACCTATAGCTACGTGATCGAAGATGATCCTAGAACGCACGCAAGCGTGTGGTGGGGGACCAGGCTGCTCAATGCATATTGGAGCGGTGTGAAGACAGTGGCAGCAAACATGACGAACATATATGGCTCCGATAACTACGTCGTCCGTAGTGGATTCACTTACACCCCCAAACCAAATGAAGAGTAGGTCACCCGGGCTCATATGTTTGACTCGCATTTGCTTACTTCTTGACTTAGCATCTACACCGATCAGTTCTTTGACCTCTACTGGTGGTTGGCAAACACGGACTCCTCGATTCTCAATAAGAACATGGACAAAAGCCTCAAAGATTACAATTCTGATGTGTGTCATTCCACTTTTTGAGTTCAAAGGCAACCTCTATCGAGAAAAGACATATTAGCTAACATTAGCAGTGGTACGGATCTCCAGCATTGACAGAAGGGCTTCACTCCGCAAAGATTCTGTTTTCTCTTCTTTCCCTTGACTTGGGCAACTGCCAGGCACCGAACCTCCTTCTGGACGATCGTGGGCTCCGTTATGCAATCCTGGCACCAGACGATTACAACCGGGATCCCGGTCGGATTTTGAACGGCTCGAGGTCACAATTATACGGATCAGACCTATACAACCAGATTCCTGCTCCCGGATCGAATGACACGAATAGCGGCCTGGTGACGCTCCGGGATAGCTACAAGAAGTTCCAGCCTATGATGGGTCCACTGGGTTGCAACAACGCTACCATTGTCAGCCAATACCTTTGCTCTGTTCCTCAACAAAAGAACGGTGGTGCCATGTTGTTTTCAATCCTGCTTGCGGATCTCCTCTTTCTCCAAGCAGCTTGGAAGATCCTAACGTGGATTGCTGATGGGATGGTATCGAGAGGAAATACGGAAGCCATGTATTGTCAGGGCTGCCAGGCCAGAATTGGTACTTATCAGTCTCTGCAAGATTTCAGCTCGACTAGAAACGGTTCCGAGGCGGTCCCAAAGAGGACGATGGATTGGAGTGAGAGTAGAGAAACGATATTAAGGGAGTAGAAACGCGGTGTGTTCGGACTCCTTTAGAAGATGACACTAGAGTCTTTAGACTATCAGCGCGAGGTGAGATACTTTCTATTGCAGAGAGTACACCTAGATCACTCCGAGAACATGCATAACCCCCTTAGGAAGAGCATTGGAACTTGGCATTTGGAAAGAACGCGAGGTGGTCCGACTGTCCCCACAGGTGACTCTAGCCCCAATCGAAGATGGGTTTATCAATGAACTTGATCTCGCAACTAGACTATTGACGTTTCTCTCACTCATAGGCCAAAAATCCCATTTGGAAAGGCTGTGGTGACAGGGTCTCCATACCTTCCCCACCGTTGTCTTCCTTTGTTGGATCGTTGCCAGATATTGACCGAAAACATGGGGCTCCGGATATGCAAAAACCTTGGCAAAGCTGTGTGAATGAATAAGAATTAATTAGCTGGATGTTGTCCAAGTAATAGCCAATCAGCTCCAAAGACATCCTGAGAGACAACTGGATGAAGAACGTGCATGCGGAATCATAGTCCGAGTCTACTGTAGCATGACTTGCAGAATAGTTCTCAAATGGGGTAACTTTAGTCGCTTATTTACCCGAGTCAATCAACGATTGAGTCGGGTTGCGGTAATTATAACCATTTCTTCCCCAGGAACAAGGAACCGCGTCTGCAAACCCATGGGGTCATTTCCAGGGAGACAAGATGATCCTTGTCAGTCGTTCACTTATCATTGTCATTTAAGTGTGTTTACCACGCAGAATGACGGTTCTTGGCGCACCCGTTATCTTCACCGCTAGCGATACCGGAAATTTCGGTGTGGGGTAGCGCGACTCCGAAGTCAACATCGGAGGCTTCCATTTGACATCAGTGCTGAAAAATGACTCTAGCGAGGGGTGAGGAGAAGAGTCTCTCTTGAAGAGGGGCTGTGTTCCTCTTCTTCGAAAGTTTCTCTCTCCTGTCCACCTTAGCCAACTCGCTCAGAGCCATCTTCGCTGTTCATGGGCAAAGATGATGTTCCAAAGCTCTGCCGTTGTTCTAGCGGCCCTCGCCGGGCCGGCCTCCGCCAGCTACGCCT